CCCCCCCGACAACTCAACCAAATTACACGGTAAATGTCTATCTACTTAAGTGTGTCCCCTTTACAACCTACTTTGTACAAATGTCCTTCGTCAGTTTAATGTCATAAAATATATTAATTTAGTGATTACATATATACCTAAAAATGGTTCCTTCACCGCTACTAACCCGACTACATTAAAAGAAACAAAAAATTTTAATCTGGGTTGTCTTTAGATTTATTAAACAAGGGTGTTGTCCGGCGAACTATAGACGTAAAGGGTTTTATAATATATAAAAATATAAAGCTATTAGATTTAGTCAAGTGAATTAGGTAGTATGTAGGTAAAACCGGTCTAAGGAAACGTAAATAAATATACAGCAAACACGTACAATGTAATACTGTACTTAGAGAGAGAATAGTCATATATCACCTAGTAAATTCTATGGCACGGACACGACCTAATTGATTTGCTCAGTCCTAAACAACGGGACACAAGGTTAAGTAATCCCGGCGAACTTAGGAAAGACTAAATGTACTACTTAGGTCGGGTCAATGCTATAAGGTGTTCCAGAAACGTGAAAAAATAGGTCGAAAAGTGGACTTTCACCGCTCGTAAGTCGAAGTCTAACGAAAGGGTGATGGCCCCTACAGGTTTACTAATCACTCCACAGTTGCGTGAATGTCATGGTCCGTACTACATACTGGTACAGTCCGACGGAGTGTGAGACGCTAAAGTCGATAAGTAAGAACACCTTCGTTGTACGTCCCAGCCAAGTATTTCCCGCGTTACAGGGAAAACAATTTGAATTCAGTGTTCTCGACTAAAACTATATACCTGTAAGAAAGGCAAAGTCTATCGAAGATTCTCCAACAACTAAAAATCATAATTTGAGAGAAACAACAGTCACCGTCGTTGGAAAAAGACCAAGTATAAGCTTTAGAGGTCCGTAGGTGAAAAAGAAAAAATGGTGTCTAGGGTAGTGTAGATAGGACCGTAAAGTCGAAGACCCTGCAAATGTCGTAGCTCCGCTACCAGAGAATAGTCCACGAATAGTACCGGCAACGTGTACCCTCTCCCTAAATAACGATAAAATTACTAGTCGAAGAATAACCCAAACCGAACAATGCCTCATTACAACAATACGAGTGAAGATACTCCGTCTGTCTACGACCCTTACTAGATGGGAGCCACGATTTTGCCAAGGTTATTATTGGAACGCTCATGTTTACTACCTTTGTTATCATTAGATCGAGTTAAACTAGCTATACTACCCCTTAACCTATATTCGCGTAGTATAGAGGTGAAACATAGCCAGGTTTACACTCTCGCCCTACACCCCATCCTTAATACGCAAAATTAAAGGTGAGGTTAACGACGTGAGACGATCAGATGTATGCCAGTATAGTCTTTACTGATAATGGAAAAAAAGATTATGCACATTAATTTCCATGATCATTAAAATCATTATTACCATGCTTAGCATATTAACAGCGTTCACTACTTTTTTCCCCCACTTGTTTGAGGTTGACACCTGTAAACCTATAAAATGGCTTTTCAATCTTCTTTGAAGCGTTTGTGTCATGTATTTAATCTGACAATACTCCAAAATCCATTAAAGGGAAAATTAAGATGCGTTTGAAGTGGCATTCACTCGCGCTATTTTGATGAATTAAGCTGAAATATTAGTGAGAATTTGAGGATCGATTTCAAAATCCAACTTTTGATTAGCTTTTTCAGTGTCATTAAACTACATTTTATAATTTGTTAAGATTGTTGGTAGATTTCATATATTTATACTGTATTCTATTAGACTAAAATCAGGTACAGTACACCTTTAACTGCGTTCTCAGCATGATCCGAGACTTTCTCTCTTGTTAATTGAGTAATTATCAGGTGCGTTGTGGGTACTGCTGACTGTGACTGTGGTGCCTTCAGAGCCGCAGGGAGACAATCAGAGTAATGGAAAAAAAAAAATTACTGCAGGTGAGTAGGGTTATTTACAGCGTCACCTCCGAGGTCAAAATCCAAGATTACAAAGCCGGAAAGAAGAAACGAAAACGGGAGAGAAACCTAACAGTGGTTATCCTTTAAAAACAAAATCCCCAAAAGATCTATTAGCCACGCTTCCTGCATTGAAGACACAACACGTCCTTACCTAATTAACTCTTTTTGAAGTCACACACAGATAAGCTCACACTCATATAAAAAAAAGTCACCGTTGAGCACTTCCTTACCTGTTTCTGTGACGTAAAGATCTCTCAGTCCTCCTTCTGTGCTTCAACAGGAGAGTTTGAGTGGCTCAGCTCGTATCCTCAGGCTAAGGGTTTCAACAACTGATCGCATGCCTCCTCTGAGGCTTCTTATAATGGCACACCCCTTCCCTCCTGGCTCAACCCTCCAGTTCCCCCCCCTCCCTTCCCCTGTGTATCACCATTCACATCACCATAGAGGAGGGTAAGAGAGAGGGGTGGATTCCCTCGTTCTGTCACGCACAAACCCCGGACAACCCGTGACCCGTGCTGACGTAGGAGGCGATGCCTACGCCACCGCTTTTATCTTCATTGAGCCAACTAATGGGGCTCTAAAAAATACGCATTATCCACAGTGAGGTTGAGCCGGAATTTCTACGTCTAAGGTGTCCATAAAACTCACAACCTCGACGCCAACCTGCAGCCAAGGTCAGGGAAACAATATCCTAATCGAATCAGATGTTTTTCCCTGAAAGTTTCTAAAAGAAGCACCCGTGGAGAACAACAAGGCTTTTTTTGTTTTCAATGAGATTTTATTCTTATTTTGAATGACAGTAAAAACATAGAGAGAGCTGGGTATGAATGTATGGAGTGTGAAGTCAGCCTAGGTCTGCAGACGGGAGGTTAATATGAGTCATGCGGTAGATATTGAGGATGGAAAACAAGACCTGTTCTAAGGTCCCAGGGGTCTCTCTGTGAGTACAAACATATCGAGTGTTCAGTTAAAATGGTGATGTTTGGGAATGGAGATGAAATTAGAAAACAAGTCAGGGGGATAATCAAAGTCATTAGGACACATTGGCTCAGAGCCAGCAACGCCAGTCGTAGATTTTTAAATCCATGGAGTAGATAAAGTAGACTCACAGTTGGCCCAAGAGTCGATCACCAACGTCAATAGGATTCATCCTCTGGGGACTATGAATGTATAGCATGTCATGGTAATTCTTTCAATTATTGTTATGGTATTTTTGTCAAGATTAAAGTTTGGAACTGACCATCTGAATCTTAAGCCATGCAGCTTGTGTGGCTTGGAAGCAATTGATTGTTATCTCTACCAAACGTAAGCCTGTAGGGAAATAAATGACTGTCAGCAGCTTATCTGGCATGGATGAGAGCAGAGCTACGTCACGGCCTAACAAAATGTTGCCCCCCCCAAAACAAAGAGTATGCGGCAGGTGGAAAATAATAGCTTCATCATGCTTGAAAGCTGCTGTCTCGTGTATTGCATGTCAAACAAAACAAAAAATCCAAAGGTACGATTATCTTTGCTTCCACTAAGAAAAAAAGACGATAAAAGAAAAGATCTGTAGCTTCAGGACACCCAAAGAGAGGACGAAGAGCGTTTACAGTGGGTCCTGTCAGTGAATACGTCAGTGGGAAACACTTCACCACAGCTAAATTATGAAGCTAATGAGGTTGACGTCAATACTAGTAAACATCTGTTATCTTAAAAGTCAAAATAGTGAATGTAGATGCTGCATTGAAATATAAAACACAGACAAACCAAGATAATCCCAGTTTAGGTGTTAGCCTGCTGCCTAACAGGACATCGTTCACCTATTGCGTCTGATTTCATCATATATCATCGCCGATCATCAATCGTAAATTAAATAGTGGAATTGATTGCCCGACTAACTGTTGTATTCGTGCACCTTGTAATACAAAAATGCAAGTATTCCTAATTTCTTAAATCTGACTGGTGAAGACCGTTCAATTTGTATTTACTGCCAGACATGACTATAATATTCTTTAATTGAATGCTGACTCCACCCTTCTCTTAAGGCCCGGACACACTAAGCCGATTTTGTCCGTCGATGGGCGTCAGGCCGACGATGAGCGTCGACACGCCCTACTCAGATTGGTGTGTCCCGCACCGTCGTGTCTTTTCAGCCGTGCCGACACCTTTTCGGCCGAAAACCCAGTCGGCCAAAGGCTGTCGGCAAAATAAATCACTCTGATTGGCTGTTCAGCTAGCGAATCAGTGCATGAGAAGCGAAACGGAAGTGAGGTACGCAAACAAACGAAGGAATTTCCTTTTCTGAGATTTCAATTAACTCCAGCTCTCGACACAGGTTCGGGAAAGCCCCATGAGCTTCTCGCTGTAGAGTGAAAATGGAACGCACACGCTATTTGTTGTTTGTTTATATCACGCAGTCTGTTCTTCTTCTCTCGGTTATCACGCAGTCTGTCTTCCGGTTGTTGCCTCTTTTGAATGATGAATACACACTACCGCCGCCTGCTGGTAAGGAGAGTTATTGCCACTCACGCATGCAAAGTTTGTACGTGCTTCTTGGCCGTCGGCTAAAGTCTGAAGTCGGGGGTCCGTCTGTGTCAGTTCTTTGGTGTCAGCTTGGTGTGTCCGGGCCTTTAAAGGCCCAGTAGGGGCTGCAAAGGATCAAGTGTTGCTTCAGTAGCATAACCCATTACCTACAATTGGCTAGGCTAAAAACATTCCATTATGTACTCTATTGAATCACACATTCTCACCTTTGTCATGGCTCAAAAACTCCATTCATAAAATAATATGGTCTCATGTTGAACGGGAGCATCTACAGATGAATGACTTCACCATTTGTTATGATCCACCAAGGTAAGGCATTATACAAAACTAATACGTTTTGACTTTGACATGCTAAGGAAATATCAAAATGTCTTTGATAATAATACCCACAGCACTTCTTTGATCACACCAAATTCATCTCCCTCCCCATTGTGAGCTGTCATTAGCTTTAGCTCCGCGTAAAAGTGTGAATGCTGGCCCTGATCCTGTGTGGGGTCTGATAGTGATGGATGAATTGTGTACATAGACAGGGCCCCCGGTGTGGCCGAGATAAGGAGCCCAGAAGAACAAGCAGCCGTTGCGAGGCCTGTCTGTCATTGATATCGCTGCTATCCACTGGCTGTCCAGTGTACATATGCTTCCTCTGGTGCCCCCAGGCAGTGATTAGCTCGATGACGGAGAAGGTCCAGCTTAACATGACCACCGCATCACGTAAAAACCACGTCCAGCTTTGGTATGGATGATCTTTACATTTTTTTGAAGACATAATAAGCATCAAAGCCATTTTAATTCCTTGTTGTCTTAAAATGTGGGTTAATCGAACTGAAAATAGAGTATTTTGACAAGAAATTAGAAATGGGAGAGTTTTATCTGAATTTAGACAGTACACTTGTTTTCTTACCTTCACTGTTAAGCTTTGTCTTTAGTCTCTGTTCACAAAATCTGTAAAACAAACCAAGAGTCAAAAACATTACTGTTCAAACATATAATCTTACATGTTTTAAATATAAACATATTTCTGGCATCAAGCACAGTCCGAACCGTTACAGTGTTGAAGAAATGCTGCGTTCTAAGACTGAAGCTTTCGTCATTCACCTATTCTCCAAAAGGATTAGAAAAGCAAATCATCTTCTATAGAAATGTGTAATTGGTTTCCAAACAGCCATATCACAGCATTAAAGCTTTAGGATTCATTATTAAATGTATTGATTTTCATCAATGGAAACCTGATAAAATAATAACAATTATTTCTATCAGCACTTTAATCAATTATGCCTCTACCATGAATCAGCGAATGGTCAATAAACAACACCTTATAATGGAAGGTGTTTTATAAGCACTGTTCCCCCTTTTTTGGGGGGAGAGAATGATAGCTAACATAAAAGCAGAACATGTTATGCAATCGGTATAAATGCATTATCTGTCCCAAGAGAATTCCCTATAGTTAACTCAATTTTGAAACTCGCACTGCAGTTCAATAACGATGGAGATAAAAAAACACACATGTGCCAAACCACATTAAAATGAAGACACATCTTCACCAAATTGACAAAACATAGGCAGCGTTAACTAAAAGCGCTACATAAACAAAAAGCTGCAAATAAGAAGCTCAAAACACAACGGAAATGGGGACTATAAAAAGTGATACACATAGCTGAGAAGGCCTGTCGACGTTCAGGGATTATAAAGTTTGCCATCTGTCACTGTTGGCAGAGTTATTCTGATTTAAAATTCAAGTTATTTGTGATGACTAGGTTAGCTAGGATAGCTCGCTAGCTTACAGCAGATCTGCAAATATATATTGGAAAGGATCAAGCGATCACATTGACAAAACAAACCAATTAAACATACATTTTAGGTAAGTTTCCATTGACAGTTATAGTTGACCAACTTTATATTTCCCAAACGTCAACAACGATCCGGCCCCAGCTGTGTGCATACCTTTTAAGTGTACCCGCTTCTGTTCTGTTTTGAGTGTCTTCTTTTTTTATTTGCAGCGTTTTTTGGATGCTACACTTTTACTAAACACTGCTCATGTGTTGTCAATTGGTGAAGATGTTTCACATTGAAATGAAACACATGTGCATGTGTTTCAGTACATTTGCATTTTTATATATACACATCGTTTTCAAAAGTGCAGCACATTTCTCCTAATGGAATTGTTTTGGGCTGTTGTAGCGCGTTTGTATGGGATTAGTTTTGTGTCATAAAGATAAGATTTGTGTAATCATGTAAACTATAAGTATTTTTTCTTTGTTTTAACATAGGTTTTTGTTTGCAGTTCTTGTTTCTTCTTTCTCAATGATCAGACTTTTGCTCTCGCTGCAGCTTTCTTGTTTACGCTCCCTCATTTTTACGCAGGGGGTACCGATCGAGTTGAAAACTCAACTGCCCGGGTCGGGAGGTCGTTAACATCGTCACCGTTCCCCGTCGACGCCAGCCATGTCGACTCACGCACCATCTTGGGTTGGGAGGTCTTCCTTGGTACGTGAAGTTAAAGAAGAATATTTAGATGTTCACCCTTTATATACCCATTTTCATAACTAGGAAACCACCACAAACACGACCATTGATATGCCCAGACCAAGAAATACACAATTACCTTCATTTCCCTTTTATGAACGATAACTTTCAATTCCGAAAACCGATGAAACTAGGTATGGTTCGTTCGATTCATCGGATTGTCCAATCGATGTATTCGATCGTCACTACACTCGGCAATCCTGTGCCGGTGGTGGTGAGTTTGCCTGAGCACAAGGACCCTGGAGCTTTGTTGGGTCCGAAGTACTAAGACAAATCCTATACGTTTCATATTGAGGGTACTTATCGAATAAAATAATTGTCCCCCCATTAGACTATTACTTTTAGTTACCTCCGACTCAATTTGAAAACATCTTTGGATGGCAGGTACCCTATGGGGACTCAACAATACCAGATGGAAAGTATAAAAAGTAAAGGATTTATTTAAATACAAGGGAGAGTATATTGTCACACCTAAAGGTAACTCTGTCCGACACAAGTCTCAGAATAGGGGGGGGACAAAGGGTGAAGGAGACTCCTGGTCCGTTGCCTCCCCCCCGGTACTTCTTTCTGACGTGGGCGGAAAGTAGGTGCGACCGCAATCCAATAGGTGACGGTCAACGGTAAATTAAACCTAGGTTTACAGAAATGGTATATGTTAATTTATCTAAATATATAGGGTGAAAACAAAATACAGAAAATAATTTTTGTAAGAAACCTGAGAGAAGACCGAATTTTACATTTTTTTACTTAAACATATTAGGTGAGACAAACAGAAATAAGATTGCACTTTTTACAATCCTCTAGCCTTCAGGTTTGTACACTCGAATTAGGTCTAGAAGGAGTCCCGTACCCTGATCATACATCCTTAATTACGATTTCATATAGTAAGAGGTGTCTATATCCCTTAACTGTGTTGGTCAACTAGTAAAACACACCTTTACGAGTTCCGGAAGGTCTGGTTTGTATCATTCTACACCCTCGACAAGGATTTAACACACCAACCATACGTCCCAGATCGACGAGACAAATTTTTCTTATTAAGCGGTGGAAATATAACATCCTTAAACAATTTTAATTATTTCGGTCAGAATTAACAACAGGTTAGTATAGTTTTATATAATGTAATTGGTAAAATGTAATGTAACGTAATCGACCCTGCGAAAATAGGGTTTTCGCTGATGTTTATTCACGTAAGCCTGGTCCTTCCTAGTTGGACTTCTTTCTTGGTCTAAGTCAATATTCATTTGTAGTCAAAGGTATCTCGGTTTGTAAGGTTACCGATGAGTTTTGCACCGAAACCCTTTCGGGTCCGGGCAATAATCATAATATTCCGAACAATCACTTAGGTTAAGTGAGCTTCACCCTCCAGATTTCTCTCTCCAAAGTCAAGCCGGCCCTTCTACACTTTCCGAAAGACGACAGGACTAAGTTACCCTCGAGGTAAGGTGGTAAAACCCTCGGTCCCTATCCGTTTGGGTTTGCACAAAAAGAACTACCCTTTTGAACCAGGGGGGAGCGTCCGCCACCGTCCGCTCGACAAAACCCGGCTACGTTTCGCCTCACGTGCACCCGGACCCCACATGCCAAATGGTACAGGGACCTACCATCCTTCCCGGTCTAGTAGCGTCCAGATACCCATGCGTTATGGTCACAGGAATTCACTAAGATCCGGTATGCCCCTTCGTCACTTCCCTCGCCATCCTCACGCAACCACACCCCTTTAAAATCCCTTCCAACCTTTCTGGTCGCTCGGCGACGGTACAGACACTAATCGACGTCTCAGCCTACCGGTGTACCGTCCATCTGGTCGGTCCTTACCTAACGTCATTAGATCCGCACATTCTACTGCGCTACGGGACCCTGGGTCTGTTGGAACGCCCCCGACTACAGACCAGTCGACCCCCTGCATAGGAGGGGCTACGACATTTTCCACATAGACGTCCCGTCGCTCAACAACGTCGTTACAAAACGTCCTTCCCTGTCAACAATAGTCACCCTGGGTGTGGGTCTAGGAACCCCGTCCAAGACTCGCCCTTTGTTCTCCCACGGCTACAACTAACAATCACCAGTTCTACACCGTAGAAAAGGCCTTCTTTTCCGTCGTCGGAACAGGTTGACACTCCGAACTACAACTCTCGTCACCTTGAGGTGGCATCTACTAAGACGATCCGTTCGTTCCTCTACGCCGCTGCTGGGACCAGAGACTCGCACCTTTCTGTGCCTAATCAGCCCACAGCAGTTTCCATCCCCGCGCCACCAGTAACTTTCGTCCGCGCCCGCCGATTAACACTGCTGGGCTCGGCTCAAACCATGTCTTCTTCTCCTCCTGGTTCTGTCTGGGACTCCCGCTTGGGGACACATTACGCTGTTCCCCCAGCTGAGCCTGGGAGAGGGTCATTGGGGATCCACGCAGAAACTCCATACCCACTCCTCGCTTTCACGTTCACCGGACATTTGAGGGTTCAAGGAACCTCCTCACGCTTTCCTCCTAGACTCTACCAAGTGGCCCACAGCTTACGCTCCGTCTGTCCAGGTCTTCCTACTACTGTCTCCTCTCCCTCCGACGAAATCGTCACAACGTAAGATATATACGAAAACTTTCATTGTACAGAACTTTTTCTATTCATACAGATAATGAAGGCATAAATCTGAACACCAAGTGGACATACGACTATATATAGTAAAATTACAGTAGTATATTATTGTCTGTTGAACGCTGTAATGAGCGATAGTAGGCGTTTAAGCATAGTCTAGCTATCTAAACTGTCGCTAGTCATATAGGTACATACATCTGACTATTGATAATGTCAACCTTATTTCATATTTGATGTGTTGGTTCAGATTACGTGTCGTAGGTATTCTACTCAGGCTATACAAGTACTTTGAGGGTCCTCTGTGGTTGTGATTGCACCGGGCTCACCTGAGGCCTCAAACGAAGGTACTCACCTGACATACTAGCCACCACATCAAACCCGACCAGTGAGTTTTTGACTCATACGGTTACTCCTGTGTGGGACTTTAGGCGCGGTGCGACCCTACAAACACAGTTT